GCCCTGGCTATACGATGAGCTGCATTGCTTTCATATATAACAAACTAGGTTTTTTCCAAAGCTATTTTTAAGAATATGCTTAATGAACTTTATATCAAAGAATAATTTTTTCCCCATGCACACCTGCAGATTTACAAGAATATTTGTAATCAATACCTGAAAGAGGTTTCTGAATGATCTCCAATGTAAATTCCGACACTTTAGCTTCTTCTGGATAAAATGGCTTCTCTTTCAGGGACTCCAAAGTGATAACATTCTCTTCGCCTGACTTCAACTTTCTAAAATACTCTTGGACATCTTCGTTCCAGCAGATGGACGACTCAAAGCCCTTGGTGTTCTCAAAGAATTGAGGAACACATACATCCGCCGGTAATCCATTTTTTAAACAAAATTCAAATATCTTATCGTTAAAGACAATATTCACGAGGGACGAAAAGAATAACTGGGGCATTGATTCCTTTGGGACGAGCTGTAGTAGTTTGATGTCACAGTTCAAGGCAATGATGGCCATATCACTAAAAATCCAGTATGTACGGCTATCAAACAACTTGGCAGTAATTCGTGCATTCAGCAATTGAAGAGCCAGCTCAAGATGATCAGCTTTTTCCTGTATGGTCATTTTATTCAAGACATCAGTTTCATCGAGAACTTTCATTGCCATATACTCGGAACAAATGAAACGATCCCAAGCGTCATCACTATCGTGAAATGCGGCATGAAGAAGGTCGATTGCTTTAATACCTAATTCAGATATCAGAACATTCACGTTTGAACTCCCGCTCTCACTGGAATGAAAGAGATAACGCAAAGAAAAGAATTTGAAGTCTAGAAGAGCAGTAGGATATGGCAGTTTCGGACGAAAAGATACATTTTCAAAAAAATCGCCGGGTGAAGGATACTTAACTTTAAGAGTTTTCAAGTTATAGTTTGCCATAATGGAGTGCCCGTTGAGTACATCGCAAAAGAAATCTGACTCTTCGTCTTGCAACCAATCTCTTACAGAACTATGGCTGAAATAATATTTATCAGAATCATCCTTTACTAAGTAGCCTGATAAAAGTTTGAGGACTTTATTGAGATCATGCATCTTAATTTCAGGCAGCAAACCACACTTCACAACCCCTGTAACACTTTCATCGCTCTCCACATAAGCCTGCTGCATCTTCTGTAAGCGAATTATTGCATCATTAAAAATAGAAGGAAGGGAAGTTGCTAAATTTAACCGAACTTTTATAGGCATTTCTTTAGCTATAAAAGCCTTAGCAGATTGAATGGCAAGCACAATCTGAAGCACAGGTACAACTTTTTTCTCAAAGAATTCTGTATCCGAGAAGTGACGCCTGAAGTCCAAGCAGTAAATCTCAGATAACGAGGCAGGCAAACCAATTTCATCATGGCCATCAAAGATGTGTTCCATCACAAGTTTAGCATAAAGAAAGCAATTCTGACTAGCCTGAACTATTTTCTCTTTGCCTACCTGCTCGTCATTAGCAAAGAAAGAAGGAATACATTTATATTCAGTTTGAAGTTTTCTGTACTTCATGGAGACAAATTCACGAATATCTTTGCTAGACAGGGACTCGAGACTAGTCTCTAAGGGGTCTAGATTAGCAGAGGAGTAATTTAAAAAAAGGCCAGATAGAGCGAGAGCATTGGGTCTTGCAGTCAAAATGACGCGAAGCCACGAAGGAAGTGTTCCTGATAATCTGGCAAGGCAAGTAGCAATCATGGACCCTCCTTCATCCAAGCCATCGATGATAAGAAAATGTCTGGTACTTTCATTCAATTGCTGCAATGGCGTGGTAATTAACAAATCGAACAGTGCGTTAGGATCATCTCTAAATTGATCAGTCGGTAGTTTCGCAACCAAGGCAGCATATTCGGGAAGGCTCTTCGAGAGCATACTGCTGAGACTGTAGACTAACGATTTCAAATCGCAAGTGCGAGGGTTGTCTTTTTGACAGTAATGGTATCCAGCCAATTTTTCTCCCTGGTGCCGAGGGACAAATTCTTGGGCGAACGAGCTTTTGCCTGTTCCAGCACCACCCCAGATAAGGAAGGCACGAGACTCCCGAGGCCCGAGGTCTTTTTCTAACCGGTTGTCAATGTCACAGAACAACCACTCACGACCAACAAATTCCTCCTTCATCCGATCAGAGACTGGATTGAACTTTAGCTCCTGCTCTACGTCACAAATCCTTTGCTGTGAATCTGCTAAACATTTTTCTTCTAGCTTTTCCAGCCGGCTGTTTAGAATTTCCAGAGCGTCGTCTAGTTCGTTATTTTTCACAAATTTATCCAAACCTTTTATCTGATCATTAATCTGCTGCAAGTCCGCTCCGACTTCATCTTTCCAACAGATGATATCACTTTCCAAACTGACCATATCCTGATCAAGTTGTTGTTGTAACTGAACGAATAATTCCAATTCTTTTTCTTCAATAACTGCTAGACCAGTATTGAGTAAACTACTAAGCTTTTTTATGGCGTCTTGGACATCTTTGTCGTGGTGCAGTTCTGGGTCTTTAAGAAGCGAGGTTAAGGATGCAAACGCGTCGACTTTATCAGCGTCACTTATATGCAGCAACGGTGCATGCGCCCAAAGATTCCTAGCACTTCTTGCAGCTGCTATTTTCGAGAGATCGACACCTGTGTTGAACATACCATTTGTCCCTCTCGGAGACCATTCTAATACATTCAACAGTCCCGATATATCAGTAGTTTTGGCGTTGACTACATCAAGCTTTCTCGTTCCCATGGGAGCCATGAAAATCTTGGCAATCTCCCAGGACTCACCAACGGTGAACCACTGAGTGTTGTCACTGTTGCTCCAGGATATTTTTTTTTTATCACGTGATCGATGGGCTTTCGACAAATGAGATTTCCACGCAGGTACACTTTTTGGCAAAGTTGCAAGCAGTGATGTGTGGTATTTGTGAGCAGCATTTTGAATTATGGTTTCCAAGCCGTTCCGGGTAATCTGAATTGCTCGACCAACAGTAACCCAGTTTTTATATTCTGGATCAGTTAGTCTGCTGTGAGCCATCACTATTTATTTTTATCCTTGAAAAAAAATGCATTAGTATATTAACCTCCTCCACAAGCATCTGCCGAACAACATGTCTAAAGTTTCTACAATATTGCATGCTGTGCGAGCATAACATTTCTACTGGGTAATCACTGAGCTGTATATAGTCAAGAAATAGTGTTCCAGTGGTAAAACAGACACAGTAATTACTTTCAGCCAAAAGCGGACTAAATTTTGAGATTGCACGTTGGTCACCATATTGAATTTAAACGCGCCGGAGTCTGGGATCTACCTTCACAAGACCTATTTTTTTGGTCAAGTTATTGCACTGACCTGTAAGGCCAAGTGTCTTAAATCCCTAATTTTCTGTTTTTCCTTTTTTTTGGTGGTGGCGAAATCGAGTTTGCGTTATCGCAGGCTGAGTTTCCACTGTTCCAGTTTACTATACAGATCAGTTTTCAAGATGGCGGCTATCAGTGAGTGACTAGTTTCAGTCTCAAACAAGTTCTTCATTTGTCAACGAATTTTTCCGCATTTTTCTGTGGATTTTGTATTTATTCTACTCTGCACTTTCTTGGAAGTTGACTTGGTGTTTTTTTCGTGCAACGTCTACGGAAAAGCGATATCTGGCTTTCGAGATGGAGTAATATCGAATTTTATACGTTACAGACTTACGGAATGTAAACAAAGTTGTCTGCGTTAGCGCATGTCTCAAAAACCATGTGCATTTATGGATAACGTAACGTTTGTATTTGCGAGTAGACTTGTGTTTCATTGGGCATTACGAAAACATCTCCTGAGGATAACTTATGATAATTTGCGTATCCCACCCACTCATCTATCGATCACGCCACGCTTTCAGCCTTTCACGCTTTGCGTTAGCGGTTCACGATTTGTATTCCTTGTCTATTACACCATAGCACGTATGTCGTCATTTTCAGGCCAGTGTGAACGCTTTAGCAGGCGTTTTGTTGAACAACTGTCTCTCTGTAGTTCAGTTGGTTAGAGCTTGACAACTGTTTTTCTGTAGCTCAGTTGGTTAGAGCTTGACAACTGTCTCTCTGTAGCTCAGTTGGTTAGAGGTTGACAACTGTCTTCTGTAGCTCAGTTGGTTAGAGCTTGACAACTGTCTCTCTGTAGCTCAGTTGGTTAGAGGTTGACAACTGTCTTCTGTAGCTCAGTTGGTTAGAGCTTGACAACTGTCTTCTGTAGCTCAGTTGGTTAGACCTTGACAACTGTCTCTCTGTAGCTCAGTTGGTTAGAGCTCGAGAACTGTCTCTCTGTAGCTTAGTTGGTTAGAGCTCGACAACTGTCTCTCTGTAGTTCAGTTGGTTAGAGCTCGACAACTGTCTCTCTGTAGCTTAGTTGGTTAGAGCTCGACAACTGTCTCTCTGTAGCTCAGTTGGTTAGAGCTCGACAACTGTCTCTCTGTAGCTCAGTTGGTTAGAGCTCGACAACTGTCTCTCTGTAGCTCAGTTGGTTAGATCTCAACAACCGTCTCTCTGTAGCTCAGTTGGTTAGATCTCAACAACCGTCTCTCTGTAGCTCAGTTGGTTAGATCTCAACAACCGTCTCTCTGTAGCTCAGTTGGTTAGATCTCAACAACTGTCTCTCTGTAGCTCAGTTGGTTAGATCTCAACAACCGTCTCTCTGTAGCTCAGTTGGTTAGAGCTCAACAACTGTCTCTCTGTAGCTCAGTTGGTTAAAGCTCGACAACTGTCTCTCTGTAGCTCAGTTGGTTAGAGCTCGACAACAGTCTCTCTGTAGCTCAGTTGGTTAGAGCTCGACAACTGTCTCTCTGTAGCTCAGTTGGTTAGAGCTAGACAACTGTCTCTCTGTAGCTCTGTTGGTTAGAGCTCGACAACTGTCTCTCTGTAGCTCAGTTGGTTAGAGCTCGACAACTGTCTCTGTAGCTCAGTTGGTTAGAGCTCGACAACAGTTGTAGCTCAGTTGGTTAGAGCTTGACAACTGTCTCTCTGTAGCTCAGTTGGTTAGAGCTCGACAACTGTCTCTCTGTAGCCCAGTTGGTTAGAGCTCGACAACTGTGTCTCTGTAGCTCAGTTGGTTAGAGCTCGACAACTGTCTCTCTGTAGCTCAGTTGGTTAGAGCTCGACAACTGTCTCTCTGTAGCTCACTCAGTTGGTTAGAGCTGGACAACTGTCTCTCTGTAGCTCAGTTGGTTAGAGCTCGACAACTGTCTCTCTGTAGCTCAGTTGGTTAGAGCTGGACAACTGTCTCTCTGTAGCTCAGTTGGTTAGAGCTCGACAACTGTCTCTCTGTAGCTCAGTTGATTAGATCTTGACAACTGTCTCTCTGCAGCTCAGTTGGTTAGAGCTTGACAACTGTCTCTTTGTAGCTCAGTTGGTTAGAGCTCGACAACTGTCTCTCTGTAGCTCTGTTGGTTAGAGCTCGACAACTGTCTCTCTGTAGCTCAGTTGGTTAGAGCTCGACAACTGTCTCTCTGTAGCTCAGTTGGTTAGAGCTCGACAACTGTCTCTCTGTAGCTCAGAGCTCGACAACCGTATCTCTGTAGCTCAGTTGGTTAGAACTCAACAACTGTCTCTCTGTAGTTCAGTTGGTTAGAGCTCGACAACCGTCTCTCTGTAGTTCAGTTGGTTAGAGCTTGACAACTGTCTCTCTGTAGCTCAGTTGGTTAGAGCTCGACAACTGTCTCTCTGTAGCTCAGTTGGTTAGAGCTCAACAACTGTCTCTCTGTAGCTCAGTTGGTTAGAGCTCGACAACTGGCTTCTGTAGCTCAGTTGGTTAGAGCACTGCACCGGAATCGCAGGGCCGCAGGTTCGATTCCTGCCAGAGGACCTATAGTTGCATTTTTCGCAACTGCTCCTGGCCTAATAAATGTATAAAAGATTTCCACTCGATAATTTCCACCTACAATAACCTTCAACCCTTTGAATTCCGGGTGTTATTTTTGCAGCTAGAATATTTATAATGAGGGGAGATTTTTTTAAAAATCTGTCCCATTCCTTACGTGTTCAAATGAGGTATAATTTCCCCACTTGTCCGGGTCTGGGTGGGCCGTTGAGGAACGTAGAATCTTCATCATTATTCTCTAACCACAATGATCATGTTTTCTTCGCCACAGGTCCAGATCCTTGCGCTCGTATTGACTGCTGTTGTAATGCGGAGTGCAGAGTGAACCTGACGAATCATGCGAAATGTGAATGTAACTTCGCCTGCACTTTGCAGTATGATCCAGTTTGCGGCTCGGATGGCAAGACATACGGCAACGCATGTGGCTTACGTAGTGTTGCTTGTGCACAGCAGAATCCGAAACTTAAGGTTGTTAGCGATGGACCATGTAAGTAATATAAACTAACTTTATTTATGCAGGATAGTTCTATCAGTTCTAAACTGTTCTTCCTAGAGGTCCAGTAAGGATCATCTCTTGTTGATCCAGTGTTACTACAGGAGGAAACCTATAAACTAGACTAACTTTATTTATACTGGATAGCAATATCACTTTTAAACTTTCTTCGTAGAGGTCCAGCAATTAAGGGTCATCTCTTATTCTTCCAGTGTTACTACAGGTGGGAAACTTAAGCTAGACTAACTTTATTTATACTGGATAGTTCTATCAGTTTTAAACTCTTCTTCCTAGAAGTCCACTAAGAAGTATCTCTTATTGTTCCAATGTTACT